TACAGCCCAACATTAGCCGCCTTTAGCTTAGCGGTAGTGACGTGAAGTCATGTGACCGTGCTGTAGTTCCTTTATAGCCCAACATTAGCCTCCTTTAGTTTAGCATTGTTGACGTGAAGTCATGTGACCATGTGATCTAGTTGTAGCAGAGATTATTTTCTGCATTGTAACAAAAACAAAACAAAAGCCCTTGTGATGCTAAAATCTGGGTCGGATTACAAAAACACGTCATCCCTGCACCTCTCTATTGAGATAAACCCAATGGTCTGCATGTTCTCAGAGCCGACGCCCAACACTCAGCATGACAGTGTCAGCGTTGCCTGATGGGCTACATCATACCTGTGCTTTGCTTCCCAACATGTGGTTATTCCTTTGTTGTTAAGTTTGATTTTTGGTTGTTTTGTAGTATTTTTCATTAAGTTAAAGCAGTCGTTCATATGTTTCTGCTCTGATCTCCCTAACGCTCTGCTCTCTTTCTTAGATACCCATCAACCAGAACACCGTGATGGATGATATTGAGAAATGGCTAGATTTGGAGGATGAGGTAAATCTACAAAATCTACAACTGTGTTAGTTGGTTTTACTCCACATTTTACTGTTTAATTCTTGATTCTCATACAGAGCATTCCTGTTCATTTCAACACTTTTCTTTCAGATAGATTGTATAATATATTTCCTAAGACAGACATAACAAGATAAACAGCAGAGAAGGAAGGCAAGGACAATGTTATCTCACAAAAAGGAGAAGTGAATTAGCCACGTTAGCTCTTTACTTCTGGAGGTTGCCTTTACCCTTCAACAATTATAACAGCGGTTTATCCTGCTGAACAAACGCGTAGGTGTTCATTTATTTCATGCGTGTGTTTCTATTTAACACGTATTGTAACCATAGGAACACACATGGTGTTGCATCAGTACATGAATATACTCTTATTTATTATTTATTTATCTATATATTACTCCTAATGGATTCTCTATATCAGACTCCAGATTCTAACCCATGGTGTTAGTATTGAAACAGTCAGGGAATATTATAGGTCCAATAATGTTTGTTTTTAATTACAAATAGATGATTGGAGTCAAGTATGACCTCATTGTATCCCATAACAATCACCTCCCTATGCAGATAATTCAACACTTAATTCAAATGGACTGAAATGTCTCCGTACTGACTCATGTGTTCTGATTATCTCAATTATTTTACTGTTACTTCACAAGTTGTGTGTGTATTAAAAGCAACATATGTGTTTTCTGTTTGTGACACAGTACGATGACTACGAGGATTCAGACGGAGTGACCAGTGAAGGTGAGGCTCTTCACAATTCACTCGGTTTTTATTTGACGATAGACACATTTTTAGACATTTATCATTAGAAAAGCTCAATAGAAGCTTTAATAGAAGACACATTGGACCCATAGGTGGCACTAGGGACTTAAATGGACATGTGGTGCCACCTATGGGTGCTTCATACTCCAGAAACATTTTTAACATCTACTTTATAAAGACTGCTGCTATATTAAAAAAAAAATTTCTAAGACCAGGGTGTCCGCAGCGTCTTAAAAAGTATTAAAAGTTGATAAATCAATTTAGCAAAAGTTAAGGCTATTAAACGGCATTTTCCAAGGTATTACATTTTGTTGTTTTCAATAAGTATATAAATGGTCCAAAGAGGTTGTATTCTACAGTGCTGCCTGAATGTAATCATGGCGTAGGTGTGTAGTGTGATTCTGTGTAGTTTATTTATGGCATCCCGTTGGGTTTGACGTCATCTGAACAGGACATCGCACGCTCACTGCTTGATAGCGCGCGGAGGTCCGTTTACGCCGGTTGCTAAGCAACATCGTTATGGGGAAATGCAAGTTTGCGTCCAAATGGTTGGAAGATCAGGAGGAAGGACAATCAATACTGTATATAGTCAATGTGAGGTAAAGTGTGTCGCCAAGGTAACCGGTTAGAACTCCAAGTGGCCATGAGGTCTTAAAATGTGTGGAAAGGGTCTTAAAAAAGGTCTTATAAGGTTTTACATCTGACTTCAGGATTCCTGCATATACCCTGAAGATGACAAAACTGACTTGGTTACTAATCAGTTTAGGATTATTTTGATCCTACGGTTTTTTTATAACTATGTAAAGCATCTTTGAGCTCCTGTAAAAGTACTTTATACATAAAATGTATTCATATTATTATTTTGTATTATTAAAATATCAGCTTACTGCTCTAAATCAGTCATTACCAAACGTTTGCAGTGACCCTTTCAAATTACATTATTCTCCTCATATTTATGTTGACATCATTATGCATTAATTAGGTTTAAACTTTACTATTTTATTATCCTATTTTTAAATTCAGCATATGTGATTTCTCCTGAAATGTTATCCCATCTCATCAATACAGTCTATAATCTAAGTCATTACTAGCTGCTACTTCACTAGTTTTTTATATTTACTTATTTACTGATTCTTTTTTAATTCACCATTTAATTTAATTCTTACTTATTTGATTTTCTTTAATGAACTTGTGCTTGTCTCTTAATTGAATATGTTTCAATCAGGAGAGACTTATTCCGTGAGTTTGATAGCATATGTATTGCCCGAGGGGTAATATACATTTTGGAGATTAGACCCCATCATACTGTGATGGATTTAGGGGGGGGGGGGAGAAGCCCACTAGGAAAAGAGAAACCCCCCCCGGGGTCTAGACACTGGTGGTGGTGGAGTGCTGAAGGGGAATTCAGGTCCTTGATGATGAGGGTTCTTCTGGGCTAGCCTGGCCCTGGATCTGATGACTGGAGGTGAAGGAAGGAGGTGAAGGAAGGAGGTGGAGGTGGGTTGCATCAATTCTCTGAACGATGCTGGCGAGGGAGAAAAGGATCAGATTTAAACGTTTGCCGGGTGTGCTGTGATTGGCTTGTGGGGGATGAGACGGGACTGATTGGTTTAGCTGGGGTATGAGTCTGACGAGTGAGTGAGAGAGAATTGTGAATGAGAGCGTGGGAACCAGTCTTCCTGAAATAACTTGCGCTGAGCTTCATTAGTCTTATAATAATAATAATAATACATCTCATTTATATAGCGCTTTTCTAGGTACTCAAACTCACTTTACAGAAAAACATTTCACACAACAAACACTTATTTATTTTCTTAACATATTGGATTTGCTTTTATGAACGTTTACTTGCCTCTTTCTTTAATATGTTTGTCTAGTAATAATACATTTAATATATAGCGCTTTTTTAGGTATTTCAAGTCACTTTACAAACAAATATCACACAAGAAACAAAGGTAAAATGAGGAACATGTAAAATAAATATGACAACAATATGGAACAGAAAGCATTATGAACTTCCCACCTACTCGTTTATTTTACCTTTGTATCTGCACTGTCCCCTTACTCTAACAGTTTATAAACCCCCGCTGTAGGAAGAATATACACATACATACATTTCATTTGTATAGCACACTTTAAAAACATCTCAAGGTGCTTCACAATCAATGAGAGTTGAAAAGGAAACATAGGAAAAAAGCAAAAATGTTGCAAAAGCATTTCTGATTTCTGATCTCACCCTGCTTCTCTCTCTCTCTGCAGAATTCGATAAGTTTCTGGCGGGACGAGCAGAAGCGGCTGAGCGTCTGCCGTCGGTGCGAGCTTCCTCTCAGGATAACAACACCTCCGAGTCTTAACTACACTTCAGAGAAACTAATAACACTCATGAAGCTCCAGCTGCTGGGAGAGGAATGGGCATAACAACCCATACCTGAAGGACGCACAGCTGTGTATAATACTGCTCTGTATGGTGGAGCAAACATGTTTTTTTAACCAATAAAAGGTAACGTTATTTGATGAAGGGCGGAGGTTTTACTTGACGTCGTAATGAGGGTTTGTCCATGTGTGGGATGCAAACATTTGCACATTTTATATGGTTACATTCCTGCTGTTTAAAAAACAAAAGAGATAATATTGTCACAGACTTTTGCAACATAGATGATGTATTATATTGCTGTTAAATATATATATATATGTATATGTCATGGTGATTGGTTGCATAAAACGCCCCTGTCCAAGTAGCACACTGTTAGCTTGTATGTCAGAGCAGATGTGATATTACATAAGGAAAGAGTTTGATGGAGGATGTTAGAGAATGATGTTTTTTTTTTACATCCAGCATTCCCCTGTGAATATGTCTTACTTGAAGTTCAACAGGAAGTCCTGGCACTGCTGTCATATATTAAACTGAAATATTAACTGGAAGACTGGCTGGTTTTATTCTAACATCAATGAATTAATGTGCATTAACTGTATAATCCTATTTATAGCTTTGCAGGTATGGAGCCAAATATTTTTATGTTTAAAAATACAAAAATAGTGCAAGAAGTCTATATACACATAGATAGGGGTAAAATACCTGATAAAGCGTACAGTCCATTTACCATATTAAATCAATGTAAAAATATATGATGAATATTTCCTGTATATTTATATTTCTTGTAAACATACATTTTTATATTTGAATGACAGTTTTCAAACTTTAAAAAAAAAAATGGTATTTCTCTTACTGTGTTTATGAATGCACCGCCATCCAACAAAGCAAATACATTCCTCGTATGTGTGTATATATCAATATATATAACAATGCAGTAGAATTTAAAAACTATAAATGAATGGTTAAGGGTAACAGAGGGTAACAGAGGGTAACAGGGTCAGTGGTAGTGTTTGTATGAAACCGAAATAAGAAATGGGTTTTTAGTTGTAATTCTGTAGATGTTGTACAATTACTTAGAGGTAAAGCTGTGTAAATGAATACAAATAAACATTGAATCAATATAGATTAGGCAACACATCTCAGTATCGTGGATCAGAACCATGTCTGTATAACGCTAGTAAACACTATCTGAAATCTGATTGGTCAAAACAAGCCACCTCGCAAGTGTCCTGTTCTCTGATTGGTCCGCCGCACCTACGCCTCCCTCTGTTACGTGACGTAGCCCCGCCCCCTCTTTCTATCTTTACGTTCTGCTGCCTTCCTGCACGTTTCTCTTCTGACACCTGGCACACACCGATCCTCCGTTATGTCTCTCGGTAAAGTTGCCCGGGGTTTGGTGCTTCCGGCCCGGGTCGCCCTACGGCCCGCGGCCCCGGTTCTCCACCGGAGCTACGCCGCTGTTTCTGAAGCCAGAGCCGTGCTGGAGAGCGAGCTGGAGGGGATCCGAGCCGCAGGGACGTGGAAAGCGGAGAGAATTATCACCTCAAAGCAGGGACCGCAGATCAACGTGGAGGGCAGCAGCAGCAGTGAGTGGGCTCTTCATGTTCTTCATTACTTTGTTGCTAGGCAATCTGATTGTCCTTGAACGCACCATTTGGTATATCTAGACATGTTACTGACATAGACATGTTAATGCAGCTTGTGACAAACATCCACGAGTCAACATATTTGGTTGTTTGAGCACGTCTCTGGTTAACAAAACAAAGGGTCAAAATACCCCCTAAATCGTTCAAGTAAATAAGTATTTTGGATCATACTAGGTAACTAGAATAACAAAGAGAGCCCCACTAGTTAACTAATACTTCAAAACAGACCCTAACTAGTCAGCATTTTTGCATTGACTAGTTAGCAACAATAGACTCTGTATAAAGGATAGCACAAATGTGTGTGAGAGAAAGTAAGTTCAATATGAGGCCAACTAGTGTAACTAATGGAAATTGAAGTTGGAAGTCTATGTTGACCTTACTAGTTACCAGGTAAGCACCCTAAGGGTTGTTTATTAGTGTCCATCCATCCATCCATCTTCTCCCGCTTATCCGTGGTCGGGTCGCGGGGGTAGCAGTTCCAGCAGAGAGCCCCAAACTTTCTTTTCCCTGGCGACATCAACCAGCTCTGACTGGGGGATCCCAAGGCGCTCCCAGGCCAGCGAAGAGATATAATCCCTCCACCTGGTCCTAGGTCTACCCCTTGGTCTCTTCCCAGCTGGACGTGCCTGGAACACCTCCCTAGGGAGGCGCCCAGGTGGCATCCTAACTAGGTGCCCGAACCACCTCAACTGGCTCCTTTCGACGCGAAGGAGGAGCGGCTCAACTCCGAGTCCCTCCCTGATGACCGAACTTCTCACCTTATCCCTAAGGGAGACACCAGCCACCCTGCGGAGAAAACCCATCTCGGCCGCTTGTATCCGCGATCTCGTTCTTTCGGTCATGACCCATCCTTCATGACCATAGGTGAGGGTAGGAACGAAAATGGCCCGGAAGACCGAGAGCTTTGCCTTCTGGCTCAGCTCCCTTTTCGTCACAACGGTGCGGTAAAGCGACTGCAGTACCGCTCCCGCTGCTCCGATTCTCCGGCCCATCTCACGCTCCATTGTTCCCTCACTCGAGAACAAGACCCCGAGATACTTGAACTCCTTCACTTGGGGTAAGGACTCATTCCCTACTTGAAGTGGACAGTCCATCGGTTTCCTGCTGAGAACCATGGCCTCAGATTTGGAGGTGCTGATCCTCATCCCAGCCGCTTCACACTCGGTTGCGAACCGATCCAGTGAGTGCTGAAGGTCGCAGACCGATGAAGCCATTAGAACCACATCATCTGCAAAAAGCAGTGGTGCAATCCTTAGTCCACCGAACTGCAGACCCCCTCCCCCATGACTACGCCTCGAAATCCGATCCATGTATATTACAAACAGGATTGGTGACAAAGCGCAGCCCTGGCGGAGGCCAACCCTCACCGGAAATGGGTCCGACTTACTGCCGAGGACCCGGACACAGCTCTCGCTTTATTTGTTTATTAGTGTGCGTAACGTAAATCAAGCATGTGGGATAGAGTAGATTCCTGAGTCCTGATTGGTTGGTATTTTCATCCCAAGTCAGCAGGTGATCACAGCCCCATCCTTATCAACAGGGAGGGAGTTGAGCAGGTTTCACGTTTTAAATATCTGGGGATTTATTTTGATGCCCAGTTAGGCTGGGCCCATCAGGTGGATCAGGAATGCTCAAAGTTAAGCCAGCGCCTGAGCCTCAATAGTTAACTAGTTGGCTTAAACTAGCACAACATTTTTGCCTTAACTTGTTTAAAAAAGTGATTACAATTATTCAAAGTCAACTATTAAACTCCAAAGACACCACTACTTGTTAACTAGTGAGTATTTTGTCTTCGACTAATAAGTTATCTTGTGAGGCTTGTTAAATATGTACTGTTTGACCTGGTGAATCCCTAAATGCTCACTAGATACATGAAATGCTTCATTTACTAGTGAAGTCTAAATACACCCAAGGTAACTAGTGATGTGTGTTTGTTTTTCTAGTTAACTAGTATGGGTCAAAATGTCCCTTTGTTACTAGTTGGGCTAATTTTGCCATAACTTGTTAACTAGTCAGACAAAAAGGCCACTAGTTGCTCAAAAAGGCTGACTAGTAGAAGAAGGATGCCAAACTAGTGCAGAGAAAGAGCCGTCTGAATTCATGGATATAGAAAAACAACTCAAATGACTTGCCGTTTACGACTCGTTGTTTTCCAGTGTTTCTGTTCCTCCCACTTTGTTATCTAGGTGTTGAACTTGACTTATGTTGACTTAGTAACTGAAGGTCGTGGCCCCTTGTGTGAAACTAACTCCCTTTTCTAATGCAGCGTTTCTTCCTCTATGTTTTCTTGGTATTGAATCTGACTCATGTTGACTCAAACTAGTAACTGAAGTACTGTAAGGTTACCCGAGGACACACAAGCCAGAATTGTCTTTAAATGGCTTAAAACATGAACGATCATCAATTTAAACTTGACTTTTATCACAAAATGAAACATAATATGAATCGGAAAGCTACGTCCACTAGGCTCTGTTTTGTGTTTTGTATCGCCTTTGTTCACACTTTAGTTTGTACCTTTGCCAACATTTGACTCTGCTGATTCATGAATGGCCCTTTGACTCGAGGTCATGGCCCCTCATGTGTGAAACTGACTCAGTAAAATCCCTCTGGATGGATGCATTGTTATTCTTTCACCCTTTGTTCTGACGTGTTAGCTTTTTTAGCTCTGTTAGCGCCCAAGAAAAAACAAAACAACTTATAACGCAGGGTTTAAGTTGCTTATAGTGGTAATTGTTGTACAGATGTAAATTGTCATTAATGTTCACCTCTTTCTCTTCCAGCCATATTGAATTTCTGTGCCAACAACTACCTGGGGCTGTCCAGTCACCCCGAGGTCGTTCAGGCTGGGATCGATGCTCTGAATACTCACGGAGCTGGACTGAGCTCTGTCAGGTTCATCTGTGGCACACAGGTATGATGGCTGCTAATAATACATGGATAACAGCATATACAAAGCTGTATTGCAGCTAAATCTAATGAAGGGTATTAACTTTGCTCTTTGTTATAGGATCTACACAAGAATCTGGAGCAGAAGCTAGCTGAGTTCCACGAGAGGGAGGACTGCATCCTCTATGCTAGCTGCTTTGATGCTAACGCTGGACTCTTTGAGGTATTTAGTCTCTACTTGAGACTCTTTCTCCCAAAGAGTAGTGCAAGGATATCTTGAACCCTGAAGGCAGCATCTCCCTGTGTCAAACAAACGTTTATGGTTCTTACATTACATTACATTGCATTTAGCTGACGCTTTTATCCAAAGCGACTTACAATAAGTACATTCGACCAGGAAGACACAACCTTGAAGAAAACAGAATCATAAAGTACATCAGGTTTCATAGAGCCAAACATTTCAAGTGCTACTCAACTGGCTTTAGATAAGCCAGTTCTTTATTAGTATAAAAGTGCTTCGTTAATAGTTCTAACGCTCGAAGTGGAGTCGAAAGAGATGAGTTTTCAGTTTGCGCCGGAAGATGTGCAAGCTATCTGCCGACCTGATGTCAATGGGGAGCTCATTCCACCATCTTGGAGCCAGGACAGCAAACCCACGTGTTTTCGCCGATGGGAACTTGGGTCCCTCTCGCAGCGAGGGCGCAACGAGTCGTTTGGCTGATGCAGAGCGTAGTGCACGCGCTGGGGTGTATGGTTTAACCATGTCCTGGATGTAGGAAGGGCCAGATCCATTCGCAGCATGGTAAGCAAGTACCAGTGTCTTGAAGTGGATTCTAGCAGTTACCGGAAGCCAGTGAAGGGAGCGGAGGAGCGGAGTGGTGTGGGAGAATTTAGGAAGGTTGAAGACCAGACGAGCCGCTGCATTCTGGATGAGCTGCAGAGGTCGGATGGCACATGCAGGTAGACCAGCCAGGAGGGAGTTGCAGTAGTCTAGGCGTGAGATGACGAGAGCCTGGACCAGAACCTGAGTCGCTTTCTGAGTCAGCTGGGGACGCATCTTCCTGATGTTGTAAAGCGTGTATCTGCAGCAACGGGTTGTAGCAGCGATGTTTGCAGTGAAGGACAGGTTGTTATCTAGGGTCACACCCAGATTCCTTGCAGTCTGAGTCGGGGGAAACAACTGAGGTGCCGATGTTGATTGTTAGGTCAAGAGTGGGACAATCTTTTCCCGGGAGGAAGAGCAGCTCAGTCTTGTCAAGGTTGAGCTTGAGGTGGTGAGCAGACATCCACTGAGAGATGTCAGCTAGACAAGCAGAGATGCGTGCGACGACCTGGGTCTCTGAGCGGGGAAAGGACAGAATTAATTGGGTGTCGTCAGCGTAGCAGTGGTAAGAAAAACCATGCGGGCTAATGACTGATCCGAGCGAGTTTGTGTACAGGGAGAAGAGGAGGGGACCAAGAACAGAGCCCTGAGGGACCCCCGTAGTTAATTGACAAGGGTCGGACTCAGACCCTCTCCAAGTCACCCTGTAGGTACGGTCTTTCAGGTATGAGGTGAGGAGGGAAAGTGCAGAGCCTGAAACTCCAAGTTTTTGGAGAGTGCGAAGGAGGATCTGATGGTTCACCGTGTCGAATGCAGCAGACAGGTCCAACAGGATGATGACAGAGGAGAGGGATGCAGTTTTGGCAGTGTGCAGTTTCTCAGTGACAGCAATGAGAGCAGTTTCTGTGGAGTGACCTGCCTTGAAACCAGACTGGTGCGGATCCAGAAGGTTGTTCTGATGGAGATAACAGGAGAGTTGTTTAAAGACAGCGCGTTCAAGTGTTTTAGACAGGAACGGGAGGAGAGAGACAGGCCTGTAGTTTATAACATCAGACGGGTTGAGAGTGGGTTTCTTTAGGAGAGGGTTTACTCTTGCCTCCTTGAGACTGTTTGGAAAGTGACCAGAAGTTAGAGAAGTGTTGATGAAATGGGTGAGAAACGGTAGAATATCAGGAGCGATAGTCTGAAGGAGGTTTGAAGGGATAGGGTCCAGAGGACAGGTGGTAGGGCGGGCAGAGGTAATGAGGGTAAGAACCTCACTTGGAGAGAGAGGGGAAAAGGAGGTAAGTGTGTTGGTGGAAGGAGGGTCTGGTGACCCAGCGGTGAGTAAAGGTGAGTCAGAAAAAGAAGAGCGAATATCATCAACCTTTTTTTCAAAGTGGTTAACAAAGTCGCTTGACAGAAGTGAGGAGGGGGGAGGGGCTTTTGGAGGGTCCAAGAGGGTGGAGAAGATGGAAAATAGTTTTTTAGGATTGGAATAGGAAGATTGGATCTTATCTTGAAAGAAAGTGCTTTTTGCCTGAGAGATCGAAGCAGAGAAAGAGGAGAGGAGAGCTTGATAGGTTAGGAGGTCGTCACAGTGTTTGGATTTCCACCATTTCCGCTCTGCTGCCCTAAGGACGGTTCTATTAGCACGCAGTGCGTCATTTAGCCAGGGAGCAGGAGGGGACTGACGAGCCTGCCGAGATGTGAGAGGACAGAGCGAGTCCAGAGTGGATGAGAGAGTAGAGAGGAGAGTTTCTGCAGCCGAGTTTGGAGGCAGGAGATGGAACGAATCAGAGGAAGGGAGGGCTGAGAGCACCGACGAGGCAAAGGTAGAGGGGGAGAGGGAGCGAAGGTTACGGCGGACAAGTGCAGGATGAGAAGAGATTAGTTTGTTATGTTTGGAAAGGGGTAGAGAGAATGAAATGAAGAAGTGATCGGATGTGTGGAGCGGGTTTACAGAGAGGTTAGAAGTAGCGCAGTTCCTTGAGAATATGAGATCAAGGACATTGCCAGCTTTATGAGTCGGTGGGGAAGGAGACAGCGAGAAAGCAAAGGCGGTTAACAGAGATGTTAGTTCGTCTATCTTCCCCGTCTGGAGGTTGAAGTCTCCGAGAAGTACAGCGGGAGGGCCAGTTTCAGGGATGAGTGAGAGGAGATTATCTAATTCCTCCAAGAAGTCCCCCAAGGCGCCTGGTGGACGGTAGAGAACAACAATGGTTAATTGTATAGGATGGGTTACTGTGACGGCATGGAATTCAAAGGTGGAAGGAGTGAAGTTAGGTAGCTTGAAGAGGGAAAAGCTCCATTTGGGAGAGAGCAGGAGACCAGTGCCACCTCCTCTGCCAGTGGGTCTGGGTGTATGGGAGAAGGAATATGCAGTGGAGAGAGCTGCTGGGGTGGATGTGTTGGATGGAGTAATCCAGGTCTCAGTGAGAGCAAGGAAATCCAGAGACTGCAGGGAGGCATAGCCAGAGATGAAGTCAGCCTTAGGAACAGCTGACTGGCAATTCCACAGGCCACCTGAAACTAGATGATGGATCTCAGTGGAGCACGTGGGATAGACGAGAGCAGGCCGGTTATATCGATTAGGAGATACACGGGGCCAGTGATAATTGCGAGAAGACACATGAACAGGAATAGAGAAAATACACATGATTATAGCATGAGGGGCTAGAAAACTAAAGAAAAGAGAAATAAGACACCAGCTCGATCAGAGTAGGATTTGCCTCCTCTTTGCCTCCCTCGTGACTCCCGTAGGACTCCAATGTCTTTGTCAGTCTTACTCCCGTAGGACTCCAATGTCTTTGTCAGTCTTCGGCTGTCTGACGCTGAAGCTGACGCTCCAGGAAAGAGCTACCCGAAATGGACGCCTGATTGCTCAGTTCTCACAGCCACGGCCCTCTAATTAGTTAACTATCTACAGCTGATGGGCGACAATAGACTGGCCGTGCCTATATTAATGCAGGCTTGAGTGCTGAGACCTGTAAAGCAGGTTTCGCCTGAGCAGATCTGAGATTTAAAATCTCTCAAACGCGATTTAGCCGTTTAAGCTACAATAACAAATTATACAGAGTCGAATAAATGAAACAGAGAAGTCTAATTAAACAAGAATATAACTTACAGTGGTTGCTGCGTCAATAGGTAATGTTGTCACCGGGTCCAGATGCACACGTATAGTTCAGCAGGATAATCTCCACATATTAACACCACTTAATGATTTCTGAAGTAAAAAGCTAACGTTAGGCTATAAAGGAGCTACAGAACGGTCACATGACTTCACGTCACCACTGCTAAGCTAAAGGAGGCTAATGTTGGGCTATAAAGGAGCTACAGCACGGTCACATGACTTCACGTCACCACCGCTAAGCTAAAGGAGGCTAATGTTGGGCTATAAAGGAACTACAGCACGGTCACATGACTTCACGTCACCACCGCTAAGCTAAAGGAGGCTAATGTTGGGCTATAAAGGAACTACAGCACGGGTCACATGACTTCACGTCACCACCGCTAAGCTAAAGGCGGCTAATGTTGGGCTATAAAGGAACTACAGCACGGTCACATGACTTCACGTCACCACCGCTAAGCTAAAGACGGCTAATGTTGGGCTATAAAGGAACTACAGCACGGTCACATGACTTCACGTCACCACCGCTAAGCTAAAGGCGGCTAATGTTAGGCTATAAAGGAACTACAGCACGGTCACATGACTTCACGTCACCACCGCTAAGCTAAAGGTGGCTAATGTTGGGCTATAAAGGAACTACAGCACGGTCACATGACTTCACGTCACCACCGCTAAGCTAAAGGCGTCTAATGTTGGGCCTGATGATGTTTAGTCGTCTCATTTAGACACTTGTTAGCAACCTCTGTTTTTAAATTCACCAGTGGGGTATTTACTGACGTATTTGAACATTTGTATCTGAAATCTCTTCAGCTTGTGTTAACCACCTATCACTCTGACACTCAGGTTCTGTTGGGCCCGGATGACGCGGTTCTGTCCGATGAGTTGAATCATGCCTCGATCATCGATGGGATCCGACTGTGCCGAGCGAAGAGGCTGCGCTACAAACACATGGACCTCAGAGACCTGGAGACCAAGCTCAAAGAGGCTCAGGTGTGTGAGGGATTAGCTTCTACAGAAACCATTACTGCACAACAACTCATATCGATTAGACATGTCAAGGATCATGATGAATGTTGGGACACACAGTATGTGATGGAGGTCACACAGGTCAATCTCATTACTGAGGGGGTCAGATGGGGGTCACAGTATTGATCTTCAGGACTCTGTTTCCTCCTCTTCCTCTTCATGGTTTTTTCATGTATTGTGTCTTGATATTTGTTAGGAAAATCTCCCTCGTCACCGGCTTGATCTTCAACCTCAGGATCCATGTGTCTGTGATCCTCTCCAGAATGGAAGCAGTCATCACATACAGAGCATCAACTAGTTCCTGAACAGTGTCCTTCACATGCTGATATCCAAGAGAGGGAGTTACACAGTCACAAGATGGAGGAATAGAAAGCAGTATTCAATGTTTACTTCAGATTAGCTCCACGTCAGAAATGAGCATGCTTGTCATATGTCTATCTCCACAGAGTCTGAATCATCATGTTAATCACATAGCTATCATATGCCTCAAACAGTCCTGATGCTCTTCTAGGTAATCAGACATCATGTCATGCACACAGCTACAGTTGGGATACCTTTGTTATCACGTTACTCTGATACTGGAAGAGGACATTCAGGATTTTCCCATCAGTATTTGTCCATGTTGATTTTACACATGGAGCTGCTGTGATGCAAGTCAAATTTCAGACTTGATCTGACCATTAAAGTATTGTCGTATCCTCTTCAGTCGTCTCGTCTTCGCCTGGTTGTGACGGACGGCGTCTTCTCGATGGACGGAGACGTGGCTCCTCTCTCAGGAATCTGTGATCTGGCTGATCAGTACGGAGCCCTCGTGTTCATCGACGAGTGCCACGCTACCGGGTTCCTGGGGGCCCGAGGCAGGTGGGTCTCATCCAATCACTGCACAAATTCTATTCCATTCTATTTCTATGTAAATACTGATATATTTTACTATATTTTTTTTAACCTGTAAATATCTCAATTAAAATGAAAGCGGTGGGCCATTTTTAGAAAAGGTCGTTTTTGCAGAAGGTTAAAAGTAGTAAAATAAATATTTTTGGGCTGTTAATTAAACGCAGTTCCTACAACACTGTATCTACGAGATATCTTAGTTTGACTCCATACAAGTATACACTGTACATCATCATTATAAGTACAATAATATTCATTCATAAAAAGTCATGAAAATATCGAGTTTGTGGCCACTTCACGCAGCTTCAGTTGATCATACTATATTTGTTATTATTTTTTAATGTTATTATAGTTTTCTTAAAATAGTTCTCTATCTGTGTTTTTAATTTTGGTTTGACTTTTATGTACGCACCACGACATCAAGTCAAATTCCTCGTACGTGTCAACCTACCTGGTGATAAACCTGATTCTGATTCTAATCGCAATTTTTCTTAGAAAATAAGTCAAGCCCAGGGAGAATTAGTGTTTTGTTGATATTCAAAGGATTCATGGCTTTATTCTTCATTGTTGTCCCTTTTATTTGTCACTTTGTCTCCAGTGTATCAGAATACCTGTATTCGTCCCACAGAGGGGAAATGTACATTGTTACAGCAGAAAAGAGCCAAAGACAGATTAATGTTACCTAAGAAGCATGTATTAAAAAGTATCAAGGATAACAAATTACACAATTTACAATCCTGTAACAGTTCTGAAGATTTAACAGCCAGGTATATGACACAGTTATTAACTGCATATATATATATATATATATATATATATATATTGCACATAGTTGGTATTTAACAACAAGGAGTGTTGTTGTGTAGGGTTGGCAATGCAAACCTTAAATCTCAGGCTCCTCCAACAGTGCAATATACAATATACTTAGGACATAAAAAAAGACATACATTAGTGTAATAGATATAATGGTAATGCTAGTAAGTTGCAGAAAAAACACACATATGCATATGAGATATAATAGGATAAAATGAAATACTGCACAGTAGAATACACACTGTAATAATATATACATATGTAGATGATGTGGAATAACAGATGTGCAGATAGACAGTGTGTAATAAACATGATGTGACAGTAGGTGTCACTAAAGCTCTGCAGTATCTTCCTCTCTCTGAGTGGATTAACTAATGATGTCCTTCCTGTGCTGCAGAGGAACAGACGAGCTGCTGGGAGTGATGGACAGAGTTCACATCGTAAACTCCACCCTGGGGAAAGCTCTGGGAGGAGCAGCCGGTACGTTTCTGTGTGATCCGTCACTGTGACGATGACCTAATCTTTATTTTCATGAACAATGTACGCTAGAGGGGGACCAGAACAGTTTTTAAGCTTCTTCTTGCCACTTCTGAACATGACGGAAACTTCTTTTTTTTCTTACCCTTTCTTTATTTTTTTATTTTGCTTCACTTTCTTATAATTATTATTGTTTGTTTTGTTTCTAACATGTTCAATAAATTCACTAATAAAAATAATAATGTTGATAACACACAAAATGTGGTGCAAAGATATATGAGACGATTGCAAATCTAGAAGTCTGGTATATATATATATATATATAACTCTGATATATTCTCTCTCTCTCAGGGGGCTACACGGTGGGTCCCAAGCCGCTCATCGACCTCTTGAGGCAGCGCTCTCGGCCGTACCTGTTCTCCAACTCTCTGCCCCCCCCGGTGGTCGGCTGCGCCCTCCGGGCCGTGGAGCTGCTGCTGGCGTCCAATGAGATCTCTCAGAGCATGACGGCCAAAACCATGAGGTGCGCTTCATTCAGGGGGGGCGGGGGGTATGAAGCTCGCTACATCCACATTATTACTCGGCGTAGTACAGTACCATACTCTACCATACAATACAATAATACAGCGGTTCCCAACCTTTTTCAACTCAGGGCCCATTTAAGAATCTAAAACATTTTGTGGCCCACATTCAACCATAAACAATACGGAGGCTAAATAAAGTTCTGATTGGTCAATTCAGAACATGTGACACGTCGTAAAGGACTGTAATGACCGTTGCTAAGGAGGACCGAGAAAGAGAAAGGAAAGGAGGTTCAAATTAAAAAAAATCTTAATAATGACAATGTTTCCACACAAATCATAATGTTTTGCAAATTATTTGGCGGCCCACTTGCAATGCCTTCAGGTTGGGAACCGCTGCAATAATACAAAGGGGCTTTATTGTTATGACCACATTTTAAACATAGTATTGCCAAAGCGTTCCACACAAGCCGTTATAACAGAACAAAAACAAAAGAGACACTAAACGTAAATGTCTCTGCAGTGTAATCAGATTAGCCTTCTGGATATTTCAGATATATTAATGTACATAGCATTGTAGAAACATAAAAAGGCAGGAATAGGAATAAAAAGGCAGCAGGGTTGTTTCTAGGTATATCAGGGAATAAATACATCTCCTATATATTTGTTCACCTTGTTGAGTAACGGCCCGTCCACACTACAGCTTCAAAAAAAGCTTGGAGCTGGGCGTGTCTGAAGCTTGGGGATTTCATTCGAGCAATGCGACCAACAACCAATCACATGAATCTCCCGCCCCCGACATACAAAGCAAAAAACCCCGGGGATTTTATGCGAGCAATATATATATATATATAAACTCCCCAAACAGGCGAAAACCTACCAGTTTCACCCACTGTCTCTGCCACCTCCCTCCATGACTGGTTCTTCCGGTTTGCTCCGGCGATAATTAGTTTCTCCTCCATCTTTTTTTGAAATATAGAAATGAACGGCGGGATATCTCTCCCAGCTTAG